ATTGATAGCCTTGCACTAAGCTGCTATCTACAGCCTTCTAATTATTCTTGAGAAGCCTGTAATCAGGTGCTATTTCTTACCTGGTACCTTGTCACCTGGAGAAAAGGAAGTGTTGGTGTGGATGGTGATGTAATTATTCTGAGGATTCTGAAGGTGAGCTCGGATATGTTTGGGTCTCATATCAGAACAGGCAGAAAGGCTGGCCCCATGGGAAAAGGCATCCGTATATGAAACCAAGTACAGGATTGTAAATGCCCACAGAACAAGAAAGGACCATGCTTTCATCTTGCCCTCTGCCTGACAGGAAAAAAACAAAAACAAATACACTTGAGAGGAATATTTTTTTAATCTATCTTCTTCTATCTTTTGTGTGTGTGTGTGTGTGTGTTCCAGCATAACTCTGGAACACCTAGAGCAATTTCAACCAAACTTAGTACACAGAGGATTTACTCTCTGGAAACAAATACTGTGGAGGTAAGACACCCCTAAAACCCCTCTGGGTGTGTGTTCTGTTAAGATACAGCCTGTTGTGCCTTAAAATGCCTTCTACTGTACTGCTGTAAAATGGCTTCTACTGTGCAGCGCAGTGGAGTTGCCATGGTAATGGTTTCAAAGTACTCCACAAGGGTGCTCCCTCTGGTAAGAGGGAAAATCCAACATTAGAAATTATGTTTGCTCTGGACATTTTCGCCCTATAAATAAATACCTGGGCAATGTTGGGTTATCCGATAGTCTTTATATAAAAGATAGACAACCCGAATGAAGTTATTAGTAGTATCTTTTGTGGAGTTCTGCCTTGGTGAGAAGTACAACTTCTCCAGAACAAAGTGGTAGTTTGACTTCTTAGCTGGGAACTGTTTTGAACTGAACTTTCTGATGCGTGTGGTGGGGCTACGTCAGAAACCTCTAGAGTAGAATTTCTCAACTGCAACAACTTTATAATGTATGTATTGTGTGGACTTTAACTTCAGAATTCTGGCTGAGGGTTTCGGGGAGTTAAAGTCACACATCTTAAAGTTGCTAAGGCTGAGAAGCACTGCCGTAGCCATTTTTTTCCCTAAGCGACATTTTAATATGCAGGGAATTAATGCAGCTACTCAAGCTCTGTGACCCATCTAGAAAATATTCACCCAGTAGCAGATCCATTGTAATGCAATCACATTTTTCCATCATTCAAACTGAATTACCTGAAACCTTTTTTTGACCTTGCAGCTGTTTAATCGAAACATCAAAAATATTAACTTTACATCCCTGTACATCCTTTGTACATAAACAAAATGTGTACAATATTTTCTGTGCTGAGGGTCATTTGAGTAGCAGAATGGGGAATGGTGTGCATAGCCAATGGTGGTGGTAGGAAGATCAAGACAAAATTAAATGTTTCAATTCAGTGATACTTGGATTGAAACTAAAGATATAATTGTTCCTGAATGTCTAATTTATACTTTCTTCTTCTTAGAGATTACAATTGAATAATAACTTCTGGAGTTTATGGAAACCACAACTCAGGAGGCTGTATGTAATTCTGGGACCTCAACGTCTGCATTTCTGATTAAGACAATTCCAGGCAATTTGATATCTATAGCACAAAAAATCTTCACTCTTCCAAAGTCCAAATATAAATCATCAGCCCAGTGGAGTAGGCCACTAGAGGTAGACTACAAAAATCTTCACCAGTAGATAATCTTTGGGTGGCTTTTATTATTGCATTATAAAAATAAACATATTATTATAAACAAAAAATCTCAGTACGTTTTACTGTATTATATTTCACATTATTTATATTTCACCATACTATATACTGAAATCTAATAAATAAAAATAGCAGGCTCATTCTATAGGTTTTTCCTTCTATTTACAGTGCACTGATTGGGATAACGATTATACAATGAACTGTTTCTTTTCAGATTTTATTCTCAGAACATTGAGTGATTTATTCGCTTTTATTCCCCTGAATAGATTTATGCAAACATTTCCATATTAAGGAAAGTTGTAAAGTCGTAGAAGGGACCCATTTTAAAAACCCAGTGGCGTGATTGATAGTTTTGAACAAAGAAGCCACTCACAACTTTTTTATTTTGATACCTGCCAGTCAGAACAATTCTCACAAAGCATCATCTATATTACAATGATAATTTTTTGTATCTAAAATTAATGATTCTATCCTCCAATACACCCATTGGCAATCTCCTGATGGTGAACACCAAAGTTGCATTACAGCCTGCTATTACTTACCTGGGGATCCATATTCCTTCAGACACAGCAGCTTTCTCCTGTAGCTTGACAGGCAGACATTCCTTAAAGAAAAAAGCTTTTTGCTTTCTCCACTAATGGGGAGAGCAACAGCTGTTTCTGTTATTACTTAATAGCTACAGGAAGCCAGTAAGTGCTCAAATCCAGTTTTAATCATGTTAGTTCTTCACACTCTACTCATTCATGGGGAAAAAAAGGATCACAAAGAAATAATTTCTACAGTATTGCATAATGTTGTGTAGGGAAATGATACTGCTTCATGTAAATTTAAGTTCATAATAAGATTGTAAGGGATTCACCTGGAATTTCTTTCAAAAAACTGTACGTAGGGGGCCTCATTTTTCCATCTGCCTCTAAATATGACATAACTGGTGGGTTGTTCTTTTTTGTTTTGTACATTGGAAAACATATCCTGCCTGTTTCATCTTCCAAGTTTGTACAATAATATTGAAATTAAAATCTAACAATATAGGAAAGGGGAGTTTGATTCCATCCAGTCCTGAAAATTTTCTTATTCCTCATCTCTCTTTTAGATGATGTCATTTCAGGCAATAATACAGGTCAGAGCCGTAAAATCGATTGTTAACACAAATAAAGGCTGCAAGTATTAACTGAAGTTTCACAACAGGTGTTTGAGGCACTGGAGCATAAGGAAATTCATTTGTCCATGTTCCTTGACTACAGCTTCTCTTAACATAGAAACCGCTCTGAGAACAGAACCTGAGAATAAACTGGCTTAATTGTTTACGTCTTATTTATATTTTATTTAAAAAATTTCTAATACTAGTTGGTAGAGGAATACAACATACTGTATCAAAGTATATATAGAAATTGTCATATGTATACAGGTTGTGTGTAGCCTTCAAATTAATTGGATGACCTCTGCTATAAATTAGATTTAATGAGCACCTAGTTCACCGTATTGAGTGCTTTGTAATTTGATATAATCTTCCATATATTAATCCCTTATGTTCTATCCATCTAATGTTCCTGCCCCCTTTTAATTTATAAATTTATGTAACTTTTATATCTTCTTGCTTCTCATAATTCTTTTTTAGAGTTACATTTTCATTCTTGATGTATCCTTTATGCTTTGTTAATGACTGTATCCCATCTTCCTTATGCTGGTCTATGACCATAATCAAGATTTGATTTGATGTTACTTGTTTTTTCTTCTGAAGAAATATCCTTTTAGTTAGATAGCAGGCAGATGTACACTCTAATGTAGTCACAACATGAAACAACCCTGGGACACCATATCTAATGTTAATCTTACCTTTATCAAAGATGCTATTGTGCTTCTCTATATTATAGTACAAATGCAAACTACATTCCTTGAGGTAGGTACTAGGTAGATATTGTACAGAAATTTACAAGATCTTAAGTCTTAAAGTAACTGAGCACTTTACTAAAGCACATGTAAAATACATGTAATCTCATATATAACTCCCCTCCATTCACTCACTTATTTTTAAGTGTTCCAAGTTTAAAATCACAAATGTTTGAAGGAAGGACTCCATACACTGCTGGGTTTAAAAAATTTTTAGAACCTCTTCTGTGGGTGTGGCCTTTGTCGGGGTGGCTTGCGGACCATGACCGGATGGGAGTGGCTTGGCAGTCATGTGACTGGGTGGGCATGGCCATCTTGTAAAATGTAGTGAAACTCACTTAACAACGCTCTTGCTTAGCAACCAAAATGTTGGTTCAGAAACTCTGGCATTTGAAGAACGCAAGTCTTAAAGCTGTCAAGTTACAAGACCCTTGCACCCCTAACCCTTTAGAAAAAACCCCGTGTTCAAACTTGACAGCTTTAAGACTTGTGGACTTCAACTCCCAGAATTCCTCCTCTGGCTCTTCATCTTGATGATGTGCGGACGGGCGGGGGAAGGGAGCTGGAACCGGTTCTAAATGGCACTGTAGATTTGTGGAACCTCTTCTACAGAAGAGGTTAGAACTGGTAGGAACCCACCCCTGACTCCATACCAGTGGTTCTCAACCTTGGCAACTTTAGTATGGGTGGACTTCAACTCCCAGAATTCCCCAGCAAGCAGGGCTGGTTGTGCTAGCTAAGGAATTCTGGGAGTTGAAGCCTTCCCATCTTAAAGCTGCAAAGGTTGAGAAACATTGGACTAATCAATGGTTAGCAACAATTAAATTTTTTTTTAATCTCAATTTTTATTTTGTCTTGAAATGGCAATTAGAATATTGACTATGATTTAAGAAAAAAGAAGAAAAATGGAATTATAAGATTTTCATCAAGCTGCTGAATTTTATATTAAACATCATAACTGTCCCAGAATGTGAGGCAATAAGATTTAGGAAGTCCCTAAGCCTGCTGAGGAGACAAAAAAATCCTCTGCTTAACGATATTAAAAGAGTTGTCAAGGTTCTGAAAAAATAACTTCTCACAAATTGTGATGCTTATTTCTTTCTGTCACACTAAGTTCTGGATTTTCCTTTCATGGCATTTTTATTGCAATTTCCACCCCCTCCCCTAAACAATACGTTTGTTAGTTAAAGTCAGCAATTCACCATATATATTTTTTAAAAATGGGAATGTTACTTACCCTACCCTACCCTGTCACTGAAAACTCAGATCATCCTTCCCTTTTTGGCAGTGAAAAATATTTAAATGTGGTTATTCTCTAGCTTATAACTATTACCATCTGAATACCAGATGCTGTTTTAAAAAAACTTGAAAGATTAAACAAATCACACTATTTTACATTTTTTATTTCTTTCCAAATTATAATACAAACAATATTGAAACAGAAAAATGTTCCATTTTGTTTAACATTTTAAAAAAAACCATTTTCATACAGATTATGTAACTTTACAACAGAAGGAAGAAACAAAACAATTATTAAGAAAAGTTAATATGAAATACTCCATCTTCAGCTCACATTCTCCTCTTCTGTGTACTTATATATAAGACTGTTAAGAGAAAAAATAATACATTAAACAAACTCATCATAGACAAACAATCATCACTGTAACTACAGTTCACAAATTATTTATTACTACTGAGCAGGAATATAACAACAAAAAATAATTTTTGAGAGACACCCAATTATGAAACTCTCCTAAGAGATGTTGGCTGGCCCTAATGTTGTCTTAAAAGGGATGCGATGGCTCAGTGGCTAAGATGCTGAGCTTGTCAATCAGAAAGATCGGCAGTTTGGCAGTTCCAATACCCAGCACTACATAATGGAGTGAGCTCCAGTTACTTGTTCTGGCAACCTAGAAGTTTGAAAGCATGTAAAAATGCAAGTAGAAAAAAAGGAACCACCTTTGTAACAGAAGGTAACAGCGTTCCGCACGCCTTCAGCGTTTAATTATGCCAGTTACATGATTACGGAGACATTTTCAGACAGCACTGACTCTTCGGCTTTAAAACGGAGATGAGCACTGCCCCCTAGAGTCGGGAAGACTAGCACATATGCGCGAGGGAAGCTTTTACCTTTTAATGTTGTCTTACAGTTTACTCCAGGCTTAGACTGCATCTAAGATGCATATTATTTTGTTTTTCTTTTTTAAAGAAGTTTTTTTTAATGTTTTTAATTACTGCCATTAAACATTTCTGGTTCTATTAAGGTTGTTTTATCCAAGACTTTAAATAGGGAGTTTATTGTAAATATCTCAGGACTCCTTTGAAAAGAGTGATTATTGCATAGCATAACAGGCAGAACTGAAAAATTCCTTTATTTTTATGGAAAACATGTTTTGTATTACTGAAAGAATCTATAACCTGCAGTTCCAGGACTGCATGTGATTTGGCCCATGGAAGTCTCTGCATGGGATTTGGCAGCATGAGGCTAAGGATAGGGAAGGGATATAGGAAATGTAGATGTTCCTATCTTTATCAAATTTATATATTTACTGGGTTTTTTTAACAAGATGACCTAACATGTTAATCAAGCCTCTTTCTGACATATGTATAAAATAATTAGATATTTCATTTTATTTGTTACTTTTTTGTGCTACCTATATACCTCCCCTATAAGGGCTCTGGGCAGCTTACAAGTAGAAAAATAATTAAAATATTAAAACTACATAGATTTAAGATTTTAAAACTATACTAAAATCAGAGGGGAGGGGATGGAGAAGAAGCCTTTTTCATCCTGTCAACCACATCCAGATTGAATGTCCCATTCAGGTTTTCAGGCCAACCAGCAAAGCCAAGTTTTAACACCCTTCTGGAAAGCCAAAAGGGTGGGAACAGTTCTCACCTCTGGTGATAGAGTGTTCCACAGAGATGGGACCACAGCAGAAAAGGCTTTTTTCCTCAAACCCTATAAGAGCACAATTGGTGCACAACACAGTTGAATAAAGGTCTTCCTAGCACAATTGTCACCTGCTCTTTGAGGAATTGTGTTCAGGAGGATCCCCATGTTGTGTAATGGATCTGTCTGGGGTAGCGCGACCCCATCAAAATTAAATATGATAAATCACTGGATCCTGACGTCCCTTGTAACCACAGTCACTGTGTCTTGATTGGCTTCACCTATTGTTCTCCATTCAGTATTAAAATGTTGCCAGCGACATTTCCTTCAACTTTTCCTATTCTTAAACTAACTGAAGTTGAGCTTAAAGAAATCCCAATTTTCCTATCAATTTTCATTTCTCCAAAAATTTTTTTAAAATGAATCCTCTTGAACACTGAAACAAATCAACTTCACAAAAGCTAGACAAATTAGAATTCCGAAAGGAAACAAAGTTTTAAAAAGCAAACAGAAAAAATGCAGGGGTAAATATAAACGCTAAAAAAAAAACAAATAACATTCTTGCATGTAATACACTATTCATTTCTAAGATTTTTTTATATCAAAGACTGCAAGATGAGAAAAGTTAGGTTTTAAATGATAAGACCAATAAACTTTTAATTGTATAATTAAAAGCTAGCATTTTCTAATAAACATATTTACCATTATTTCCTCTGATGAAGGCATCTCCATATTTATTTTTCAATTGTCCATTTACATACTCTTCTGTCTGTTCCAGAGCAATATTCATGTAGCCATCCAAGCAGGCTAAAACACCTAGAATTACAGTCATTCACATATTATAACGCAATCTTCCAAACCTAATATTGCTCTAAAATTTAAACACAAAGATATCATTATACAATGTACAACTAGGCGAGAATCAAAGTTAATTATGGCACAACAGCCAGCCCACTCTTATCTATGTAATAGTCTGCCAAAGAAATTAACGATCAAAAATAAGAAAAGGGAGCTTTGTTACAAAGTTATTAACACCATTACACCTGTCCATATCTTTTCATCTTTATAGACTATCCTTTAAATTACATTGTCACATTAATTTATGTACCACTTTTTGTTCTTTAAATTTCTCACTTTTTTTGAGAATCTGACCAACTCTAACCATTACCTTCTTGGTTATGAGCCATTCAATCGTCCTTGATATATCTGTTTTGCAATTCTATCCTCGTGTATTTTTTTTCTATATGACCAAACCCCTCAAAATAGTTGTTTCATGCTAGTTACACATTTTGGTATTCTATCCACATTCAGCATATTTGCATTTTGACTCTATCTAATTTTATTTTACATCACTCACTTTTTAAATAATCCATTCCCATTGCATTCAATTTGTTTTAGCTTTCTCTTGACATACACAGCTATTGCTGCCTTATCAAACAAGCAGGCATAGCCATTTCTGTTTTCTGACATTCATCAAAACTTTGATCAAAATATATGAGAAATACCATCACTTTCCCAGGCACACTAAACAATCCTCTATAAATTTAATTTTATTCTTAACTTATACTTGGAAATTAAATGTACATGTATAGGTAATCCTTGATTTAGAATCACAACTGAGACCAAAATTTCTATTTTAAGTTGAGGTGGTTATAAGTCAAGATAAAGAACATCATAATACATATATGTATTTTATTTATCAGCACAAATACAACACACACATAACTCTATATACACACACATATATATATATATATATATATATATATATATAAAATTCTATATACACACATATATGTAACTCTAATTAATATATATATATATTTTATATATATATATAAATATATATATATATATATATATATATATATATATATATATATATATA